TTTATAGTAGAGATGCTTGTTCTAGCTCTGGTAATGTTGGTCCCATGGTCCGTATAGGAAATGAAAGGTTTTAGTTCATTTCCCCAAGATTGTTGTGATGAGATGTGTCTAATGCTTATACAATCTAGATATCATCATGTCGTGCTGGTGTGTTCTCTATGTTCATCTTCATCGCCATTGGGTAAGTGGCTCTCCTGCGACTGCTATGTTTGGCTTGGTTTGAATGGACGGGATTCTTGCCTTCATGTGGTTTTATGATTACTTCTCCTGAAAAGTTGGAGGGGCAAGTGATGACAACCTGCCGTGGTGGCAATGTTGTCGCTTGAGAACTATTCGCACCCTTTATGGTCTATAAGCAGAAATATAGTGAGGTGTGTGTTTTCGAGTGATGTTTTGGTAATTCCAAATGGAATGATATGAGAGAGCAGCGGTGATGAGTTTTGGTGCTTCGGTAGTTAGTCAGGGCCGCCCCATCAGGACTATGCAATGTCTGTAGCTTTAGTTGGGTATCTTGCTCTATTTATCTTGGTCGTCATTGGCATGTCAAAATAGTTTAGTTCAGCTTGGGAACCAATCAGGACCCAGGCTGCTTGTGTGCGTGAAGTATGGTTGTATGTGCTAAAGGTTGTTGTTTCAGTTGATAAATACTTACATTGAGCAACATTAAATCTAGATAATAGTTGCATATGTATGCCCCTCTTAACAATCAAGCAACTAACTTGCAGAATATGTCAGATTTTCTTTCGAAGAATAATATATCTTGGTTCAATTAGAGTTTACAAGCTATTTTCTAAATCTCATGGTGCAATGAGGTGAGCATAACTTTGACGTTGTAATTCAACGGCGTAGCAACACACGCTGATGCTTCTAGTAAGGATGGATTTCGGCACAAATGACCAATGATCTACCAAATGGGAGTTTCGAGGGGCCTGAACATTCTGATAATGTCCCCTCCATCAACACCATCATTGCTGATCTTCACGCGATGGCTCTCCGCTTGGCGCCGCTGCTACCTCCTCCACCACCAGAGCCGGATTAGATCTTCACATTCTGCGCCGCCACCTGTCTATTTTTCGTTTTTTTTTGTGCTTGTTGAACTGTGCCCTCAACAGAACCTGAGTACCTTGTGTTGTGCTACCTTGTGTGCGATGTGTGTGTGCGTGTTTGCTGCGAACTTTGTTGGACATTGTGCTTCGGTGGTTTGCTTTATATATAAAGCAGGGTGAAAGTATTTTTCGGTATGCGTGAAGTATGGTTGTATGCGCTGAAGGTTGTTGTTTCAGCTTTCGAATATACTAAGCAACAATAAATCAAGATAACAATTACATATATATGCCCTCTTAAAAATCAAGCAAATAACTTATAGAATATGTCAGACTTTCTTTTGAAGAAAAATATATATTGATTTAATCAGACTTTCTTTTGGCGAGCATAACTTTGGCATTGTAATTCAACAGCGCAGCAACGCACACTGATACTTCTAGTAAGGATGGATCTTGGCCTAAATAAATGATCAATTATCTACCAAATAGGAGTTTCGAGGGGCCTGAACATTCTGATTACATGGAATACATTATAATGTTTCTTCATCAGAGAGATAAGTTTTAGTCTCACCGCTGAAATCTACATACAAAAGAGTGAACTTTTATAAGGGGGTTCCGGATCATGCCTCCTGAAAATTAACATTGAAAATCCACTTCACTCCCAATATGTTATGCACGCATATCAAACAACTTAGTAATACTACACTGGTTTCATCTCGAGAATAAAATGACAGCGACAATGAGAGAAGCCCCTGTGACATAAACAGAAATAGTCAAAATCCCATTCCATTGTGGCAAGTGACGGCTTGCAGACTACATAGAAGGAAGCACATCAGAATAGATACACTATGTGTGTCATTTCATTGGTAGTTTCAGACTTTCAACACTAAGCTACTTGTGTACCAACAGTACTGTCTAATAATAGTACACTGGTAGCTGAGCTAGAGGAGCAAATCACAAGGTCCAGCCTCGAGCCTTGGTCCAGCCAAGGCAGCAAGTAATATTGAGAAGAAGAAGAAGACCCTGCGGCCTGGGGGTGTGGCTAGCTAGAGGCGGTGGGCAGGGACGAGGTCATCGTCGAAGTTCTGGGAATACCTCTTAAGATCGTACCCAAAACTCACGGCATGGCACGCCTCACCCTCCAGAAGGGCTGCCTCACGGGCGCCGGCACCTGCCGCCACGACCCCAACCTGGCGAGGCTCTTCCCCTCCGTCATCTTCCGGCTACCAATGCTTCTCGTCACGCGCAATTATCCTCCCAGAAACGCCATCGGTCCTTGATGAGAAAAATCCACTTTACACAAGGATTAGCGCATGGCAAAATCACATTTTGGGCATCTTTTGCCGTTGCTACCCTAAACTACACACCCTACAGTCAAAGTCCAAAGCGGAATCTGCGTGGACCAAAGGGAGGGTACGACATCCAAAGAGTGAGGGGTCGGTGGAGGCCTCGTGCCGTGTCGACACAGGCAGTTGCGTACTCAAAAGTAATTTTGCTTGGGGCACCCATCGACAAGTGTTGGTGCTTGCCACCAATGCTTTTTAGTTCTAAATAATGTTGTATCAAACTGTCCCAAGAGAAGAAGCACTGGATCGCATGTTGGTGCTCAGGTTCGGATATCCCCCGACTTAATTTGGCCATCCACATTACCGGAAAGATTGGCACGTAGGCAAATACTCTTTATGTGTTAATAAAGCTATGTTGGAACCATGTGCTCTTGCTTAGTGACAGCTCATATATCCAATCATGAAGATACAGTTCTTCGGGACAAATCTTCGTCAGAAAAGAAACAAAGGGAGCAGAAGAAGAAAGACGATGGCTGTATCGTGACGCTTTACACGCACCACGGTCATGTCCCATATATCCATTATCCACAGTAAGCACTTTCTACTTTTGTGAAGACCTACCACTTTCAACTTTTGTTGCAGATCTAGCAATCGACATAAAAAGCCGAAATTCAAACAGCACCAGTACCTACCGGCACATCTGTTGCCCTTCATCTCCGCATCAAGATTGTTGTGCTGACTTGCAGTATAAAGGTACCAAGTATTTTGCTGCAGAAATACATTGCAATACACTCCGATAGAAGTCCATGATAATAGTTTTTCGTCTGGTAAAGGTAGAGAAGGACGGAGTGCTGCATGCACACATATTCTCTCTCTCTCTCTTTCTCTCTCTCTCTCTCTCTCTCTCTCCACCCATGAAAAACTAGCTTTTCATTTTTCTTGTGAAATACTAATTCGTTGATATCTTTTGAATAAAAATTATTCTAAAATCTTTTTAAATGTTTGACTTCCGGGCGACGAAATCATTAAACAAGATCCAATTTGAAATATTTTAAATGGTTTAGAAAATTCAGAAGACATATTTCATTCCTTTCCTAAAAATAGATCTCATTCATTAATTAAAGTATTGAGAGTGTGTAAATATTCAGAACACGGATTTCATTTCAAAAACGTAAATTTTACTCATTTCAAAAGAATTGTTTCATTTTATTCATCAAAAATAATTTCACTCATTTTCAAAAAGACCGATTTCACTAGTATAAAACTACATATTTCACTAATTTTAAAAAGTGTTTCACTAATTTAAAAACACTTATTTCACTCATTTGAAAAGACTTATATCACTAAATTCAAAAATAATAATTTCTCTCATTATCGGAGAGACCGATTTTCGATTTAAACAACATATTTCACTCATTTCAAGAAAATATATTTCACTAGTTTGTGTTACATTGATTTTACTTAATTCAAAGTACTGATTTTACTGAAGTAAAAAAATAATTTCACTTAAATCAAAGAATCGGTTTCACTTATTTCACACAATTAAAAGAAAAATACCAATGCACAATGTACAATCTCCAACCCCCTTTATAGTAGAGATGCCTGTTCTAGCTTTGGTAATGTTGGTCCCATGGTTCGTATAGGAAATGAAAGGTTTTAGTTCCTTTTTCCCAAGGTTTTTGTGATGAGGCATCTCTGATATTGTTTATACAAGCTAGATATCATCATGTCGTGTTGGTGTGCATCTCGGAGTTCACCTTCATCGCCATTGGGTAAGTGGCTCTCCTACGACTGCTCCTGTTTGGCTTGGTTAGTGTGGGCGGGCTTTTTGCCTTCAGGTGGTCCTCTACTCACTTCTACTAAAACCGCTCGAGGTAAAAATGGAGGTCAACTGAAAATTTGGAGGAGCCAGAAATGGTGACAACCCGCTGTGGTGGCAATGTTGTTGTTTCATAACTATTTGAATCTTTATGGTCTATATGCAGAAATATAGTGAGGTGTGTATTGTCGGGTGATGTTTTGGTAAATCCAAATGGAGTGATATGAGAGAGTAACGGCGGTGAGTAAGTGCTTTGGTAGTTAGTCAGGGCTGTCACATGAGTTCTAGTTATGTTTGTAGCTCTAGTTAGGCATCTTGCTCTATTAATCTTACATGTCATTGGCATGTTAAAATAGTTTTTGTTCAGCTGGGGAATCAACGAGGACCGAGACTGCTTTTATGCGTGAAGTATAGTTGTATGTGCTCAAGGCTGTTGTTTCAAACGTTGAATATATTGAGCAACGTCAAATCAAGATAACAATTACATGTGTATGCCCTCTTAACAATCAAGCAAATAACTTATAGAATATGTCAGACTTTCTTTAGAAGAATAATATATCTTAGTTTAATCAGAATTTCCAATCTATTTGCTAAATCTCTTTGTACACTGACATTTCATTGTCAGTTTCAGACTTTCAACAGTAAGCAACTTGTGTATGAACAGTACTGTCTAGTATACGCTCGTGGCTGAACTAGAGGAGGAGCAAATCACAACGTGACGACGCTTCAAACTCTCCAGCCTCGAGCCTTGTTCCGGCCTGGCGGCAAGTAAAATTGAGGAGAAGAAGAAGAAGAAGAAGAAGAAGAAGAAGAAGAAGAAGAAGAAGAAGAAGACCCTGCGGGTGTGGCTAGCTAGAGGCGATGGGCAGGGACGAGGCCATCATCGAAGTTCTGGGAGTAGCTCTTGAGGTCGTACCCAAAGCTCACGGCGCGGCGCTTTGGCCGTAGCACAACGCGCCTCACCCTCCAGAACAGCTCCCTCACGGGAGCCGGCGCCTGCCGCCACGACCCCGACCCGCCGTGGCTCTTCCCCTTCGTCGTCTTCCGGCTTCCAATGCTTCTCGTCACGCGCAATGATCCTCCCAGAAACGCCATCGGTCCGTGATGAGTGATTAAACACGGCTCTGTGCTGCTCTTCTTTCTTGATTAGGTTGCTTCTGATTTGAGATGGATGGTTTTGGTTTGCACAAATGGGGCCTCTCAGCAGCCGTTTTATAAGCTCGCCGAATGGACGAGGCTCCGACACCGACGTCAATGATGGCCGGGTCTGCCACCACCGACGCGCACTCACGGCTAGCTGACGAGAAAAATCCACTTTACACAAGGATTAGCCCATGGCAAAATCACATTCCGGGCATCTTTTGCCGTTGCCACCCTAAACTACACACCCTACAGTCAAAGTCCAACGCGGAATCTGCGTGGCCCAAAGGGAGGATAACATCCAAAGAGGGAGGGGTTGGTAGAGGCCTGGTACCGTGTCAACATAGGCAGTTGCATACTCAAAAGTAATTTTGCTTGAGGCATCCATCCACAAGTGTTGGTGCTTGCCACCAGTGCTTTTTTACTTCTAAATAATGCTATATCAAACGGTCCCAAGAAAAGAAGCAGTGGATCGCTTGCTGGTGCTCAGGTTCGGATATCGCTTGACTTTAATTTGGCCGTCCACATTACCGGAAAGATTGGCACGTAGGCAAATACTCTTTATGTGTTAATAAAGCTATGTTGGAACCACGTGCTCTTGCTTAGTGACAGCTCGTATATCCGATCAAGAAGATATAGTTCTTTGGGACAAATCTTCATCAGAAAAGAAACAAAGGGAGAAGAAGAAGAAAGATGATGGCTGTATCGTGACGCTTTACACACACGACGGTCGTGGCTGATATATCCATTATCCATTGTTCAGTTAAGCTGAGGTAGCAGGCTTTTGTACAGACCTAGCATTTTCAACTTCTGTACATACTTATAGCAATTGACATAGAAAGCACAAATTCTAACTGAGCCAGTACCTACTGGCACATCTGTTGCCCTTTGTCTCCGCATCAAGATTGCTGTGCTGACTTGCAGTATAAATGTACCAAATATTTTGTTGCATGAATACATTGCAATAGACTCTTGATAGGGGGCCATGATAGTAGTTTATCGTCTGATAAAAGTGGAGAAGAACGGATGGCTGCATGCACACAGATTCTCTCTCGCCACCCATTGAAAACCTAGCACTTCATTTTTCTTGTGAGATACTAATTCATTGATATGTTTTCTGGCTACGTGTTCGTGCCCTAGTCTTTGGCCGTCCACATTACCCGAAAGATGGGCACGTAGGCAATGCTCTTTATGTGCTATAAAGCTACATTGGAACCTTGTTTCAAAAAAAAAAAGCTACATTGGAACCATGCATGTGGTCGTGTTTAGGTGTTGACTCATATCCGATCATGAAGATATAGTTCTTTGGGACAAATCTTCATCGGAAAAGAAACAAAGGGAGTAGAAGAAGAAAGACGATGACTACATCGTGACGCTGTACACGCTGACGGTCGTGCCGCATATATCTATTGTTCAGTTAAGTTTCAGGGTACGGTGTCGGTTTCAAGTTCATGATTGCACCGACACACTCCACGGCTCGGCGCTACCAACAGTAAGTACTTTCAACTTTTGTACAGAATTGGCACTTTCAAATTTTGTACAATCCTAGCGAACAAATCCTCGTATATAAGCAGGCTAAAGAAAAACGACAATAAAAAAGATAGCGAAGGCCATAAAAAGCCGCCACACCTAACAAGAAGCCGCTGAGACTATCGAACAAGAATGGAACAATGCCGACTTGAAGAACCACTAAACACCATTGCACCGAACACACCAATGAGTCTCGGAGAACTCATGATCCTATCCTGACATAAACAATGTAAAAAACATTGCACCAATAATGAAGATAGACTGACAAATTAATGTTCTTGTGGTTGCAGTGGAACAAAGGTTCAAGCTTTTGATTTTATTTTAGTTCTACCTGCTAGCCTAGGGATGGTACTAACAAGGCATATCGGATATAGCACGTGGACTGCACTGGATTGCCCTCTGTATCTCTCTACTTGGACCAACTTTCCGACGTGTTGCTAACCTCGTGTGAAAAACGGATAGTTAAAGACAAAGTTATAGTGTTTGATTGAACCGATATATCTATAGGAAGCTTCCCACGAGCATAATCCAATTGGCTAATCAACACATCACATAAAGGACGGGCGTTGTTGGTAGTATGCATGGGATGGTGGTGCATATATCCAATCCAAGTCATACGTGATCAATGATGACTTGGATAAATTTTATGGTTTTGAAGGGAGTCTGTACCTCTCCCAAGGGGACTCAGGCCACGCCGAATCCTCCCGTTGCAACCTCCTTCCTCTCCGGCTTCTCCTCCCCCGTCGTCGCCTACTGCACCCCCCGGCAAAACCCGCTCGGATCTGGTGACGGGGCGCCGCGACTCTCAACAAGGCACCACCCCTCGAGCAGGAGCTCGGGTGGTTGCCGATGACACGGAGCTTCCCAGGCGTGCGTGGCCGAAATCTGAGGTGGTGGTCGAGGCACTGGCTGCGGGCATGAGTTGGCGCTTCGGGGATCCTGTTGGTCCGTGGGTGGGCGGCGACATCGGAATGGGGTGCGGTGGATGCACCGTCAGCTGAACACGGGGGTTGCACTTACGGCGGCGTTGCTGCTTGGTGGTGCACTGCTGCAAGAGCTTGGGCGCGCTATGTCCTGGATCCATGGGGTCTTCACTATGGCTGCTCGATGCCTTTGGCCGATGCTGCCTGGGTTCATGCGGGCTCCTCTGGCTGTCGGTGTCTCTGCCGGTCGTGGTGGTCCAATGGGCGGGTGGTGTCGCGTGCTATGGTGTCGGGCTTTGCTAGAAATGTTGATGGGGGTGGGCGTCTGGCCCGGATCTAGCTGGGTAGCAGCGGGGACCATCTGCTGCTGGTCCTGCGGCTTGCCGTGCGGTACGGACTTGGCAAGACTGGATGTGTGCGGTCGTTGCTGGCCTTGTTGCTCATTGACCAGGTGGGTTAGGGATCCAGGCACAATGCTGCTCCGATCTGGCGTTCATGGTGCGGAGGTTGTTGCTGCTCAGCAGCAAGGTGGCGGCTCGCCGCTGGGAGCTAGGATGTGCACAACAGACGGAGGTTGGTGGCGGCTGGCCTTGGTAGGGCCTCGTGGATGCGGCATACCGTTTGGTCTACTCACAGGCGTAGAAGACGATGCCAGGCGAAAGTCTGTTTCTGACTATGGTCGGAGGCGACAACAGTGGCGGCCGTGGGCGTCGCTACCTTCTTGAGGCCGCTGCTATGGTGATGTGCTCCTCTCCCCCGTCGTCCCTTGGTCCATGGAAAACCTCATATCCATCCTCTATCAGACCGGATGATGGAAGCGCCTTGCACCGTTCCCCTCTTGTGGGCATCATTTTTGGAGTTGGGATCAGCCGGAGGAGCCAGTGTTGGTTTGATGGTGGTGGTGGTGCGGCCGGCTTGGGGTCGATGGTGGTTGTTCAGTGGTTTCCTTTTGGGTTCGGCGGCGGTGCCTTTGGTGCCGCAGGGCAGTCATTTGTTTCCCCCTCGTGAAGGTGTCCCACCCCTGTTGTTGTGCAGGCTCAAGACCCTTCCATGTCTGCCGATGTATTGCGGCGACCTCCGTTCTCTTGGTGATGTCTTAGTTCATCTTTGCTCATAGATGGCGTCTCCCCAACTTGCCAATCATTTTGAATTGCCGTGGAGGAGCTCCTAGCCAAAGTTCGTGTTTGGTGGCACTTGTTGACAGTGGACGCTCCAGAGTTGTGACGTGGGGCCCGGTACGCAAGCATGTGCGGTGTGTTAGAGCATCTCCAGCCGCGCCCCCAAAAGGGCCTCTCCAGGTGTTTTTTCCGCGCCGGCGCCAAAAAAACACCCCAGTCGCGCCCCCAGGACGCCGAATTCCGCCGGCTCGGCCCATTTTTGCGCCCAGCGATCGTAGGCCGAAATTGGCGCACTGGGGGGGCGCTTGGGGGCTCCGGCGCAAGGGAAAAGCGCTCCTGGGGCCACATTGTTCGGCAAAAAGTCAAGACACCCGCCTAGATTCGCC